TTTCCATTTCTTTCTTATTTTGGGTATTCATGGCTTCCAGCATGTTTCTGAGCTCATCTAATTTTTTTTATTATCTGTTTCTGTTCTAGATCCTCTAATCATGTCTTTCACTCTGCTCACCATCTCTGTAGTTATCTGGGGAATTATTTCTGTTTTGAATTTTTGTAGAGCCTCATTCATCTGTTTTGTTACTTCCTGTGCTATCAGTTCAGGCTGTCCAGGTGGTTGATTTCAGACGTTTCCACCTCATTTCCCCCAGGATTTGCCTTTGGTGGGGTGGAAGTCTGAGTTTGTGCCTTGCTTAAATGTCTTCTCATTTTTGTTTTAGGTACTGTCCTTGGTTTGATTCCTGGGTTGATACTTCAAAATTGCTTACTGTAAGAATCTTTGTTGCTTGTATTTAGAACCTTTATGGAATAATTGCTTCTCAGAGTTGTCTTCCAGATATAGCTGGTCTTTCGCTTTTGAGTCTCTAATGACTCTGAGGCTATCTCATTTTCATTATACCAGGAAGGAAAACTGATTAGATCAATCACAACACCTTAGCCTAAGAGATACAATCTTAGAAAATCACAGTTTGTGGTAGTTATTAATCTATCACCTTTAACTGTGTGAATTAAATCAAAAATTTTTTTGGGGGGGGAGAACAGCAGTTTATTCTCCTGACACTGTTCACCAACACAAAGGAAAGAAGTAAGGCTTTTATGCATATAGGAAAACAGCTTAGTTATTCTGGTTATTGTCTTTTTGGTTTTAACATTTGGTGACAAGTGACTCTAAGTGACTCATAAAAGCTACAGATGAATTTACAGGTCCCTTGTTTCCATTCACTGATCTGTACATCTAAGAGTACACTGCAGCCCTCTTCTTATCAGATGGTACCAAGAAAGCAGGGTGACTTCAGCAGAAGTCAAGCCCACCGCCCCACCGCAAACATCATAGATGTACATAGTGAACTATATCTCTCTCACCATCTGTAGAGTCATTGGGTCGCAGTCCTCTGACCCCATACAATGGTTACTCAGAAAGCAAGGAAAACATGTTTTTCTCCCATAAAACTTTTATAACATCTCTTAAAGTTTCCTGGAATTCTTTTAACAAACAGACTTGTGGAAATTCCCAGAAATGACTTAATTTTCTGTTAACAAATGTCTTGTGATTATATTCTTACCACTAGATAACTAAATTTTACAAATTCCCACAATTCCCTTTCTTATTTTATTTAGGGTAAATTCTTGATTATAACATCAAGAAGATCAAGAGACAGGATCTTGAAAGGCCAGGAAGGTAGATGTCTTATGCCGGCTCAATTCGATGTTTGGTCCTTCTATAATTTTATAAAACAGCAAGAAATATAATAAAAGAGGAAATAATATTGAACAAAATCATCCTTAAATCCATTAATTATTGTATAAAGGGAATAGAGATGGTTTCTGTTTTTGTTTTAACATATAAGTAATTCCTTTTTTCGGGCACAATCCCATACAATAAGGTAGGCATTGTATGCCACAACATGATAACAACAAACATATGGCAACAATTATGACTACAAGACAAAGCTGTTTTAACCATTGCATATTAGGCAACCATTGGGTTAACCATTGAAACAAATCCCATCCTAATTTTTCATTATGTATTTTCTCTGTCAATTCTTCTAATTGTTTTATTTTTTCTTGAATCCCTGGGCTATTGTCAGTCATATTAAAACAACACATATTTTTTATTTTTTCACATCCTTGGTGATAGAACAAGAGTAAGTTATCTGTTGCTGCCCTGCTGTCTAGTATAGCCTGTCGGTGTTCTTGTAACTCCTGATTAATTAATGCCAAGGCAGATGAGGTAGCGTTTAGTCCTTTGACCACATTACATGCCAATTTTCATATCACCTTTTCTGCATGAATTCCTATGGCAGGCTGAGCAAGCACAGATACTATCATGGGTATCACTTGAGCATCTGTCAAGAGACCTACATCATCATCACATCCTGGTTCAGTATAGGGTGACCAATGTTTAATTCTTTGGGACACTATCAAATCAGTTCGATCTGGCAATATTATGGCCAAGCGACTTAGGCAGCACCAAGTCTCTGACAAGTAGGCAGGGATATAATTAAACATTACTCCTTCACATGTATAAAACCATCCTGATGGTAGAGGTACATGACCTTCATTATATATGATTTTTTTATTCCTCATAACAGGTCACTTTTTCTAACTTTTGTAATCTTAGACATTTTGTAGTACAATTTTTATATACAGCACATTGTGTATTGTTTAACATAATCATCTGAGGTGTATATAACTTAATAGCACTTTTTGGTTTAAAATAAGAGGGGGTCCCCCAA